TTCCTCCCACCCACCACCTATACTCTGCCCCACAGCACCACGGATAAAGGAGGTTCCTCCCACCCACCACCTATACTCTGCCCCACAGCACCACGGATAAAGAAGGCTCCCCCCACTCCCCACCTACAGTTTGCCCCACAGCAGTATTACAGTTACACCTGAGCTCTGACTGGAATGTTATTTAATGGCAGGAACTTCCTTTCCTGCGAGTGTCCCTGAGACTCAGCCCTTGCCCTTTAAGAATGGAAAAACTTCTATGGGGAATACATCACCTTACCCAGTGCTATTCTGAAAGTAATGGCAAAGATGGACCAAAGTCACCCGTTTCTAATTCGAAGCCCTACCCTGAGGCAGGTGACCCTGCAGAGTGGTCTGGGGTGAAATTTATGGTGATACTCTATTTCATATTTGAAACAGTAATGATAGCAGCCAACATCTGCATGGTACTTTAGAACTGACAAGGCACTTTTCAAGATACATTTAGCTGAGTAACAGCCAATTATATTGATAACTACTGTAGTTGATATTTATGTTTTTAAAACTTTGTGGTGGATAAGTAAAACTAAACAGGCATGCAGTGTGTAAGTGAGCATTCTACAGCCCACGTTACCATTTGTAACTATAGCAGCAGTGTGTGCACTTTCCGTGGAAAAAGGTTAGTGATGAACTGAGAAACTGAGGTTAAATTGTATTCAGAATGGTTGAATCATGAAATTTAGGGCGGAACGTCAGTGGACCTTTGATGTTCAAATACGAACTGTAGTTAGTTAACCCAATGCGGCAGTTCTGCACTGTCCTATAGGGTCGCTATGAGTTGGGTTTGGGTTTTTGGTTTAGATGGGGTTTTAGTAAACGCACATGGATTAGGTTTCAAAATTGGTCCAGGTTTCACTAAACTAGGATTTCCCCTGAAATCAGTGTTGTCCGGTAACTGGAAAACTCTAGTGCAGTTTCTGCTCTGCACCCTTATAAGGATACACGGTTGCTGGGAGCAAGCCAAGGATGAGCAACCAGGCAAACTTCACCACAGACTAAATGAAACAAAAGACCAGAGGGGAAGATAAAACAGCGGCAGACTGGCGGAGGTGCGGACAGCGCCCTCTCCAGCAGCAGTGACCCCCGGCAAGGCCAGAAAAGCAGTCCCGTTCGTGGACAGGTGTGCTGGCATCTCTTCCCAAAGGAAATCATGGGATCCAACTTTCTGGAACAGAATTGTCTTTGGAATGAACAATGACAACAGAGTAGAGAATGTCCTGCATAACTGGGAATCGTTAAGAGATTATTACTTGCAAAAATTACTGAGTATCAGCTGACCACAAAGGACAGTGACAAGCTATAGAAGACGTGAGGACATTATACTCCTACATTTAACTTTCTTAGAAAGAGCTAACGAGAGAGGGTAAGAAGGGCCACTTGGAAAGGCAGAGCGTCCATAACACTGACGGGCTTCTTCAAGGGTGTGCTTTCTGTTTAGTGCTGTGAGTTTACTCGTGAGCGAGGTTTAGGGTCAGCTTCCTGATGTCCGAACACATCACACTCACTTAACCCACGGCTGGAAGGGCTGAATGAAGAAACGCCAGATGCAAACAGCTTGAGTAAGGCTATGCATGCGTTCCTGGTACCACGTGCAAATGGCGGAAGCTCAAGGAGAATATTCAGTAACCCAGAAATGGAAGTGGTTGCATTACATATGTCAGTTATCTATCTGGAGCTTTACCTGCAGCTCTACTATAACCAAAAAAGGAAACAAGGAAGAAAATCAAAGCACTCTTGGAAGGAGTTAAAACATTCAATCCTGGTCATGAGTGCGAGGTACTGCCAAAGCGCACAGAGGCTCCTGGAATTCTGCATCCCAGTGCCATGTTCTGTGCTCAGAAAGGAAAAACACCCCCAGTGATTTTCACATTTGAATACACTGCTAAAATTTACATGCTCTGAAAACAAGAGGGAATTATTAAAAACTCTAGTAATCTGGGACTTGAATATATTTACTCCAGAATATGACACGGGGAGCAGGACGGTTCATTATTTCTCTGCCCAATTTAATCTCTGCCTAGAGCGGCTATCAAATTTCATGTAGTATATGTCTGTAAGTATAGAACAGAAAAAAAAAAAACTAAACCCTGTGCAGCCACATCAATAAAATGGTAAATGTTAAAACAAACAAACAAACAAACAAAAAACAAAAACTTCCAACTTTAAGAACAGAAATTTCTAAGTAGCAAGCCATGGTGACTTCTTTGGGTGTTCACAGCAATTTAGTTTCCCTGAAAAACTTACACTGCATAGGCTTTCTGCTCTATCCTGGTTTTCATTTTGGTCTAGTATGAAGGTCTACCATCTTTCTGCACAAATACCAAGCTATACTTTTTTTTGCCAACCATGCCCTCCTCCCCTCGAGGTATTTTTGTAAGTGTGCTATGCTAATTTTTGTAATGTGCTGCACATAAAAAAAATTAGTATAGTGCCCTTGTGAAAATAGCTGGGGGTGGCGGAGGAGGGTGTGGGTGGCCCAAACACATGTAACACACGCAGTATTGGAGTAAAAATAGGGCAGAGTGTCCTGATGTCTCTCTGTAATGTTTCAGCTTCCCTTCCCGCCTGGGTTCGGACAAAAGGGCGCTGACTCTCCTCAGAGCCAAGGAGTTTGCACTGGCAAGAGTCCAGTGTCAGAGAGGTTTTCTGCTTTAAAAAAAAAATCACGAAATTAATATATACTGCAAGATACCCTGGGGCTGTGGAATAATGGATGGGTGACTGCTGAGGAAATGAGCTGCAAAAACACGTAATACATACAAGCCCCAAACCTCCTCTCCTGGGTTAAGGGGTCAAGCTGCCTAAAGGAACGACCCGATTCTGCTGTCTCTGGGGGGACTCTCCCGAGGAACGCCTGTCCCTTAGGCGGGCTGCTTTGGAAAACAACGCCTAGGTGGGTATTTTAGATGCTTACTGCTATGACAGAAACTCCCGCTGCTGTGCTGTTTGGCTTGGGGCCTGTGTTGAAATGCTTCTTTATCTTCCCAGCTACTGACAGCTGATGCTCATTTTCTGGGAGGCCATCATCCTGGTACAAAAAAAAGACAAAGAAAGGAGAAAAAGAAAAAAAATGAGGTAAATGGAAAATGAAGCCAGAGTCTTCTAGACACAGGCAAGTGATCTTAGAATTGAGAAACGCCTTCTCATTAAACACTGCTCTGGCAGCGATGCCCCGAAGTTTCACGTGCTTCCCCATCTGCCCTGAAATTAATTTGCTCTGTGTCATCTGACCCTCGGAGGTATATAGCTAAATAAAAAAAAAAATTATTTCTGTTCTGGGTTTCTCATAAAAATCTATTTCAATCATGGCTCCAGGAACATATATCAAAGAGCAAGTTTATCTGGAAAGACAGAAAAAAAAAAAAAAAATCAGTGTAAACATCTTTTCTTTTCCCCATGACTCAAAAGATTTATCCTCTTAGCCCATCAGTCAGACCCAGCACCAAGGAGGCTGACAGACCTGGGCTTGTACACAGCCCATAAATAAACTCAAGCCTGTTCCACAGCTAGTCAGTCGGCCATCCTGTATCCCAGATAGCCTTCCAGGCAGAACGTTCTTCCCGAAGCTTTAAAGCCTCCTCGCTGCCATCAGAGCGTCCTGCTCTTATGACACAGTGACAAGATTTCTGCTCTCTGCCGGGGCTGTCTGTGATGAAGGCTGGACAGACTGGTCTCCTTTGCTAAAAATACTGTTCAGATACGACAAATAGAATCATAAACATGTGCCAGCACTCACTGCTTCACGATGAAAAGGCTACCTTCTCAGGAAGGCAGACACTGCTGCATTCACTACAGAATCCCCAGGTCTAAACTGAGTGCCCTGGCACGTAACCAGCAACCAGCTGCCGTCAGTCGATTCCAGCCATGGTGACCCCATGTGGTCAGAGTAGGACTGTGCTCCCCAGGGTTCTAGACGGATGATTTGGTTTAGTTTGGTTTAAAGAAGACTCCAGGGGATAGTTTTGGCTTAAGGTTTAAAAATTCTCAGGGCAATAGTTTTAGGGATTTATCCAGCCTCCACAGATCCAAACAGCCTGGATTCCATCAGAATTTTAAAGTCTGTTCTCCATTTTCCCCCCTTTTGATCAGGATTCTTCTGTAGAATCTTTAATCAAAACGTTCAGTACTGGGATTTACTCCTTCTTCCAGCGTTTGGCCATCCATTTATCCAGCCTGGGTTAACTGTGTGACCACAGTGGACCAGATACTGCTGTCAGTGGTGGGGAAATGACAGTGAGAAAACAGGCCTGGGTAGCACTCTCTCGGACCTGTTCCAAGACATTGTTTTCTTCAGTTAAACACAATCCATTCTAATGGCTCTTTTGTAAAACTTTAATGCTTTTCTTTATATCCATTTGCACTATTCTTTTTGGTGTTGAGTATATTTTACATATATAAGTAGACTCTGAACCCATGCCCTTCTATACCTCATCTTTTATGTTTTCTGGGGTCTTTAACATAAGCACTTGGTTCAGTTCCCTGGACACAGGGGACACTCAATTTCTGGCATCTTTTAGACCAATTTATTGAGGACTATGTTTGTTGTTAGCTGCTGTCGAGTTGGCCTCTGATGCACGGCAACCCCGCACACAGTGGAACAAAACGCTGCTGGACCTGCTCTATCCCCACGACTGGCTGCAGATCAAACCATTGGGATCCATAAGGTTTTCATGGGCTAATTATCAGAAGTAGGTTGCCAGGCCTTTCTTCCTAGTCTGTCTTAGTCTGGAAGCTACACCGAAACCTGTTCAGCATCCTAGCAACACACAAGCCTCCACTGACAGACGGGTGGTGGCTGCGCATGAGGTGCTTTGGCTGGGAATTGAACCTGGGTCTCTCGCACGGAACGCAGGAACTCTACCACAGAGCCACCACTGCCCCGTTAATGGCCAGAAGAAGAAATAATTACTACGTTCATCTAGTCACATCTGCACGCAAATCTGGAAGAAGGAGGTTTTCCAAGGACTCATCATTCCTGTGACTCATAAAGGCTCAGAAATGAGGTGTGAGGGAGTGAGAGCCACAGGGGGATGACACCTGGGGAGGGACAGAAGCAGGAACCCGTGAAGCCCCTCCGGTGTCCAGGGTTATGTGAAAGGGTGGTGGGGGATGGGGAGCAGTGATGCTCACAGCCCACCAGGACAAAGTACGACACACGAGGTAAAATATAACACGCTGACAAGATGAGAAAGAGCCATCACAAGGTACCCCAGCCTCATGGCTCAGTCAGAAATACTAGAGGAGTTGAGGGGAGAGAGCACATTTTCAGCTGTGAGTGGTAAGAGTGGAATTCTGAGGATATGGGTTTGGCCTGGCCCTTAACGATGGGGAGGTTTTCAGAGCAGAGAGTAGAGAAGGAGATGATTTGTGTACAGATGTGTGTGCCTGGGATGCCCCAAGGCAGGTCTGCCAAACACTGAGTCAGCCTGTTTATCTCTAGTTAAGAGTCTACGTGGGACAGCCATGGCAGGGACCAACCCCTAGAGAAGGACATCATACTTCGTAAAGTAGATGGTCAGCGAAAAAGAGGAAGACCCTCGACAAAATGGACTGACACAGTGGCTGCAACAATGCGCTCAAACATACCTACTATTGTGGTGGTGGCAAAGGACTGGACAGTGTTTTGTTCTGTTATATGTGGGGTTGCTGTGAGTTGGAACCAACTCGATACCACCTAACAACAACAACAGTGGCAGAGAAAGCTGAAGGAAGAGGAAGAGATTGGTCAATCCAAGGATGGAAGCCTTAGTCTCAACTAGACAGGAGCCGTGCTTTTTCCTCAGAGGGGCGGAAGCGTAGGAAATGTGAAGGACTGCCCTCTCTTTGTTGTTGTTGGGTGCCGCCCAGTTGATTCCGACTCATAGTGACTCCATGTGCCCTGGTTTCCTAGGCTGTAATCTTTACAAGAGCAGGTCGACAGGTCTTTTCTCCCACGGAGCTACTGGGTGGGTTGGAACTGCCAACCTTTGGGTTAGCAGCTAAGCACTTAACCTTCACACCGCCAGGGCTCCTTGACCTCTCTTTACAGGACAGCATCTCGTTCCTGACTCGACAAGTGAAAGAGAAGCTGGAGGATGATCACAAAGAATCAGCATCGTGTGGTCCAGAGTTTGAAACACAAGGTGGATTCAGTGGCGTATGTAAACACATTTCTTACGGTGGATGATCCAACGGGCCCTTGGAATTTAAGTTAGAATTTTAGAGAACATTTGACAGTGAATGAGATGAAGTGTCTTTACTGAAAGTCTTACAAATATCCGTGTCGTCCGCCTGGAATGGTTTGGGGTTCTGTCTGAAAGAAAGAGGACAGGATGATGGAATGTTGTCACCTAGGGGCCAAACAAGGAGCCCTGGTAGCACAGTGGTTAAGCACTCAGCTGCTAACAGAAAGGTCGGTGGTTCGAACCCCACCAGTCATTTGCAGGAGAAAGACATGGCAATCTGCTTCTGTAAAGATTTACAGCCTTGGAAACCCAATGGAGCAGTTCTACTCTGTCCTATAGGGTCGCTGTGAGTCGGAATCAACTTGACAGCAATGGGTTTGGTTTTAGTTTTGGTTTTGGTATGGGCTAAAACGCACCACTCATCGTTCCTTAATTGGAGTCCGGTCTACCGCAGGCAACACGAGTTACATGAGCTTTAGATTACACAATAGTTTTAAAAACACAACTGGAAAGCAGTTCAAAGGAAGGCTTTTCTTCTTAGAACAACAAAAAAAGTGAGCATATTTGTAGTCCCAAGATAAGAAGCTAGTGGAAAGGGGAAGCTGGAAGACAGGAAAGAGGGGGTAACTGGTGTGAGGGCAGGGATGAGGGGTGGAGATGACGCGGGGTGCCTGGGGGAAGCATAGGTTTACCTCTTTTCCTGAAGCAGGATGAAGTAAGGAGAGAAGGCGTGAAACCTGATTTGAGGTGGAGAGGAGAGAAGTTAAAATGGAAAGGTGGAGAGAGGAAGGTGAAACGGATATTTACTGTTACGTGGCACTGTGCTAACAATTTCCACACGTGATTTCCCTTATTCTCAGACTGTCTTCTATCAGTCCATTTTGCAGAGGAGCAAACTGAGGCTCAGCAAGGTTAAGCAATTTGCTGGAGGGCACACAGCTAGCAAGTGGCTCAGTCAGGACTTCCCCGGCTGGGGAATGCTGTGTTCTTTCTAGCACATCCAGCTGCCCCATCAGAAGGTCTTCACTAGCACAGCATCCGGCCGCAAACGGCTCGGTAAATGGTAAAGGAAAGGACACACTGAATCACCTTTCCCATGATGAAAGCAGCACTTTGGTGAAGGGGAATGAGGACTGAGTAGGGGCTGAAACAAACAGAGATTATTTGGGCAGGCCACCACCCTTCTGTCAGCTTGTCTCCCCTCTGTCGGTGTGCATGTTGCTATGATACTGGAAGTTATGCCACCAGTATTTCCAATACCAGCAGGGACATCCATGGTGGACAGGTTTCAGGGATGTTCCAGGCTAAGACAGGCTAGGAAGAAAGGCCTGATGATCTACTTCTGAAAATTAGCCAACGAAAACCCTATAGATCGCAACAGAACGCTGTCCGATATAGAGCGGGAAGATGAGCCCCCAGGTTGGAAAGTACTCAGAACACACAGTGGCCCCAACAGTGAACTCAAGCACACCAACGAGGGTGCAGGGCCGGGCAACGTTTCCTTCTGTTGTACACGGGGTCACCCTGAGTTGGAGCCCATGCAACGGCAACTAACTCATGAGTCTGGGAATCACTTGGAGGTCAAAAAATGGAATGCTGAGGGATTCGGGGTCCATCAGAATGAAATTAGGAACATCCGTGCAAGGCAGAGACCTGGTGTCCACTCATCTGGGTAGGGCAAAGGGACCCATCAGGGCCAGGGCACTGGGACCCCATGAGCAGCTGGGGGCAATGGAAGGTCTGCTGAAGCTGATGAAATGAAGTTGTATTGGGTCTATCAGCGTGGCCTGCAAGCAAACAGGAAGACAACACAGTGGGGTGTTTGTAGAAGCAACCCCTACTCCTACTTGCTGGGGGAGACCTC